CCTTTTTTTTTTGGTAAAAATGGATATATATGTACTCAAATAAATGTAAATGTGGAACTACAACACATTACCGTGATATTGTATAATTATGAAAAGATTATTTGATTTACCAACCTGGTTAGAAGAAAATGTAATGCTACTGGAGTAATAGAATGCGTTGTGAATGATGTTGCTTCCATTACTTTTGTTTGCAATCATTTAGAGGGCGTTTATTTGTGGAAAATATAAACGCTTTGGGTCTTTATGCAAGGGAGTCATATATTCAAAGCGGAGCATATATTTTTAAAAATACGGTATATGGCAACAATTTTACCAACACCCCAATACATTTTTTCTTGTTCTGATTTTCAGATGACAGCTGATAACTTAAGAATTCAAATATTCAATTTTTTTTTTTTAAATTTATGTAACAATAATAATAATAATAATAAAGAGTTTATATAGCGCAAATTATAAAACAATCTTAAAATCAAATGTGCTTTTGACTGAAAGTTATGATGTTTGATTAAAAAATAATGTTTTGATGTTAGATTTCAAAGTGGATATTTTAGTAATGTTAAAGTGTAGTAGCTGCAAATGCGAGAGATCTGTTTCCAATAGTTTTAAGGTTGATTCGGGGAATAGATAGAAGGATTGAAGTGAGAGGATTGAAGAGAACGAATACGGGTATTTTTGGGATGGAGGTCAAGAAGGTAGGATGGTTGTGCACAGGTGAGAGCCTTGAAAGTCAGGAGAATTTGTTTACTTTTTATGAAATTATTATTATTATTTTTTTTTTTTGCACTTACCCTGTGCAACACATTCAATACTTTCCAGTCATCTTCAACTGCACTATTCTGGCGCACATGCTGAGCAATTGTAGTTGCGTTAGCATGGATGGCAGCCCCATCTTCCCTCTGCAGTGCCCCACTGCCAATTACTATCATTGGGTTCTTAGCCTGGGCTAGCACCTTGTTGTATGGATGGGTTCCTTTAGCTAACTGAGCAAGAATATCTGTTGTGTCTCCAAGATGCTACATGAATTATTAAATAGTAAAATGAAACCAATACATATATTTTTTTTAATTCGTCTGAAAACACCAGTAAATGACAACGTTAAGAAATCAAAAAATGTAAAAAAAATCCCCAAAAATACAAGATGTGTGTGGAGGCAAAGGCTGTAAGCCATATCTGCACTGGTCTCCCTCATAAGGTGGTGCGTGGCACAGGTCTTCTGGCAAGTTCAAGTCATATTGTGTCCTTCAACAAGACACTATATCTACAGGAGTTGTGTAATTATCTTTTAGGGTGTGAATAATACATATTTTATTCATTTGCTCTAAAAGTTGGAATTGTACTCCTCGGAGAAGGGGAAGTGGTTGCTAATATAGAATTGGTTCTGTATCTCAACAAGCAAAGAAAAAACAAATAAGATAACTGTACTCACTTCATATGTATAAGTGAGATCCACCTTTTCACCAACCATAGCGACGCTCAGATCGTTATGCAGCCAACTTTTGCGAACACGTACATTGAACAGCGGTGCTTCATATCTAGGATTTACGCCAACTAATAGTAATACATCAGCATCTTCAACCTTTGCAATTCCAGTGTTCAACAAATAGTTTGAGCGAAAGTCAGTGCTGGAAAAATAGACAATCACATAGTACTAAATTTTATTATTAGCTTTGGTTAATGACCTTTCTAACAAATTGCTTTCTTCAAAGTTGACTTCAAAATAGTGTGGTATAGGGTGCCCTATAGTTTTAATAACTTGTATTTAAAATTAATCATTTGAGTGTTGAAGAATTATTGTATACAAGAGAACACATAGTATGTGCTATGTGAAGGTGTTTAGCAATATCCAGATATTTTATCACTTGTGTCTTACCCAGCTGCATCCATTGGGAAAACCTCTTCTGTACAGAGTGCCTCGGATCCAAATCTATTTAAAAGATCCTTCAATGCTAGCAAAGCCTGGTATTCAATTAAAAAAAAATATATCACATCAATTCAATTCTCTTATTGTCAAGAATAAGAAAAGTACTAAAATGTTACAATTATATAACAAAAGTATAATGAGCATTAATTAATATACAAAGTTTGTTTTGTTTGTGTTGAAAATTTCATAATGGGGAAGGGGAACATCATTGACAAAAGACAAGGTGATCAGGAGAAGGGGTTTTGAATGATATTTTGCTAACCAATCAATTAATCAACAAGAATTTGTATAGTATCAATATGCACAGCAGAATGCAATGTTCAGTGGCACTATGCTAACAGCTTTTAAACCAAATATGTGGTATACAAATAATCATTTATTAGTATTGTTATTAATAAAAGGCTGGGATAAATGACTCCAAAATGAGACATTTCCATCGAATATGTGGGAAATAATGATTTTTTCTTTCTAACTACTTTGTTCTTACTGTTTTTATTTGAATAAATGCTCCGGGGCGTCTATTGTTTAGAAGGGTTTTTGAGGGGGTGTTTATTCGAGGGAGGCGTTTATTCAAGGCAGGCATTTATTTTTTTTGTGTAAAATGGATACATATATACTCAAATAAACGGCCCTTAATTTTACTGTAAATGTGGTACTATGATAATTACCGTCAAAAGTGTGTTATTCTGTGATCCTACAGTTTATTGATCCCAACCAGGTTAGAAAAAATGTAATTCTACAGGAGTACAACATTAATAGAATGTGTTGAGAATGATGTTGCTTCCATTTGTGTTTACAGGAGTTGGGATTGGGGGGGGGGGCCTTTATTCGAGGAAAATATAAATGCCAATAAACGTCCCAGGGCATCTATTCGAGGGAGGCATTTATTTCAAATCAGGCTCTGGAGGGGGTGTCTATTCGAGGGATATGTCTAATCAAAGCGGGGTGTTTATTCAAATAAATAAGTTAATTACAGTAATTGAAATGCGAGTATTGATTCAATGTACAAACCTCAGCATCAACAAGTCCCCCGGCAATGGCAGATATCTCACTTCCACTTGTACTGACAAGCTGAAAAAAAAAACCAAAAATTCTCATATAAAGTTGTCATCAATTAAATTTTCTTTTTTTCTATTTTACAAATTTTTTAATAACAACTTTGTATTTCATAAACATCATAGTGTTAATATTTCAGAATTATGTAGTTCTCTGTATTTGTAATTGCAGAGTCTTAAAATTTCTGTTCATTGAAACAAAATTATCAACTGACCAATTAGAGAATCAAAGGGGTGGAGAATAGAGGAACAGTTTAATGGCATTATGACATACCTGTGAAGCAACTGCTGGCAAAGCATCTTCCCACGTACTTGCTACCAAATTTCCCTCCGCATCCTTCACCATAGGAACGGTCAACCGTTGTCTCTTTAGCCCATCATATGAAAAGCGTGTTTTGTCAGAAATCCATTCTTCATTGATATCCTGAAGATAAAGGAAAAAATATACCAAATATACCTCACTTTGTTAACTCTTGTGGAATGTCTCTCTTACTTGCCAATGATACTCAAACACAGAATTTTTTTTATCAAATTCTATTATTCCACCATTGACTATTTTGCAAGTCTATCCTCTAAATAACTATAACATATATTAGATGCCATATTAATAACTAATAAATGATCTTCTGGTTTTTTTTTTTTTTTTTTTGTAATAATAATAATACACACAATTGAAATGTTCTTTTTGAATAAAGCACAAATATTGAATGAATAAAAATGAATTACTGCCTTGATAATTTTATGTTATTTTGTTATATAAATGAGGTGGCGCTGTTAACAGCTGTGGCCGCAACTGGGAATTCTTGACTGCAAACGCTATAAATTTGACGTTTTCTGCTTGGAATTTTCTTTTTGTTCTGTGTTAAAGTGGTGTGTCTTTATTTGAGCCTTTTGATGTTTTGAATTTGTGAGTTTTTATTGTCGTTGGAATCGTTTTTGTTTGGAGGTTTTTGCTAGGCCTGACTATCGCAACACGCAATGTGCTATGGATCGATATTACCCACAACCTCAGCTCACCAAGGCAATGGACCAATCAGCCTACTAGGCCTATCCAGATTTCACAACAGACCTAGGCCTAAGCGGTTTCGTGGTAGAAGGGCAGGCAGAAAGACCATCAAAAGAATTAAAGTAATACAGAACGTGTTTGATAGAAGTGGACCTGTCCAACAGAGAGACACAATACCAGTAAGAATATCTATAATACTACTACCAAAAGTTACTCTAGGCCTAGGCTCTCATTACAAAACAATCAAAATGGCGATTCACAACCTGACAAAAGCAGTGAAGATCGGAAGACGGACAACAAGCCATCCTCGTTTTTACCGAAACTTTTAATTACTAATGCATGCTCCATCTTAAATAAGCAAGATGAATTCAACATCCTAGTTAGAGATGAGAATCCAGACTTGTGTTTTATCAGCGAATCTAAACTCTGTAGCCTAGGACGTTGGTTGCAAGATCAGTCCTGGGATGAGGTATTATCTAAAAACACTGTACAAGATAAAGCGGATGCTTTTTATAACTTATTGTGTAGTGCGATTGATCGTTATTTACCAATAAAATCAGTACAGTGCCACCTAAATGATAAACACTAGAATTAAGAGTTTGATAATGAAAAGGCAAATAGCATTTAACAATAATAATGACCTGTTGAGGAAAAAACTAAGAAACAAGGTTATTAATGAAATTAAGAAAGCAAAGTCTTCATACAC